CGTTTATAGATACATATTTAAACTCAAGCTTTATTATTTTGGTGAAAGCTCTAATACAACGTTTGTAGACACCTCCTAACAGCTGCTTCGAAATGTATTAGAGATTGAACCTGAGAGGCGTTTGTTACACTCTTTTATGACTCCTAAATAATCACTATACAGCAAGCGGTGAAAAGCGTTTATAGCACTTTTTAAGGACTCCTTAATAACCGTTGTGTAAGTACTCACAATATTCACAGATTAAAATTAGTTTAACAATTGTCGTGGTACGCCAAAATAATTGCTTGTACAGTTTTTATTAATTTAATTTATTTGTGCACATTGAAAAAATATGTAATTATGCCATAATTCACATTCTGTGATCATGGAGGAAGTAGTAACAAGCATCTGTTTAATGATATTTGATTGATATTCTTTCAATTAATCTCTCTAATCATTAATTGAGAGAATTTATCTAGAAATGTTATCGTTGATTATATGATATATGTCTTAAATTAATGTTTGCATTTATTAATAACACCTATATATAATTTACCTCTAGTCCACCGAGGGTTTCTCGAAGCAAGATTCGAACTCATGATCCCGGATTGCCAGCCGCTTCTGTTTCCATTTGCTCTATTCTTGAATACATATTCTGATCATATGAGAGAAGTATATGAAGCTCATCTTGAGTGAATTCTCTTGCAGTCGAATAATCATTGCCTTATGGTCATATAAACGTGCCTATCACTTGTGCTATTTTTAGCAACAAAATTGTGGTTGGTGGTTGGTCGAACGTAAACAATCATTTAACAGTGCTCCAAGCAGTTTTTGAAGCTTTTAATCAAATGGCAATACAACTACATTCTTGTACAACTCTGGAAGCTATTATTCAACGTTTGATCAACTCAGGTGTGTTATAAGAGCTCCCAATGGTTTGTTTTGATGCGTTTATTCCACGTTCTATATAGCTCTTGTCAATCGGTTTGACTAAGGTGCTATAAAAGTTCTCGTAGGTCTTATAAAGCATATAGGTAAACCGAACGTAAACAATCATTTAAGAGTGCTCCAAGCAGCTTTTGAAGCGTTTAACCAAAAAGGCAATACAACTACATTCTTGTACAACTCTGGAAGCTATTATTCAACGTTTGATCAACTCAGGTGTTTTATAAGAGCTCCCAATTGTTTGTTTTGATGCGTTTATTCCACATCCTATATGGCTCCTGTCAAACAGTTTAACCGAACGTAAACAATCATTTAAGAGTGCTCCAACAGCTTTTAAAACTTTTAATCAAATGGCAATACAACTACATTCTTGTTCAACTCTGGAAGCTATTATTCAACTTTTGATCAACTCAGGTGTTTTATAAGAGCTCTCAATTGTTTGTTGGGTGTAGCTTGACTCTTATAGCATATCCTGCCCTATCCTTTGTTCCAAATGTAAATTTGACCATCGCAGGATGCAGTATATTTGTCCGGCCGTTCCCGTTTCGGTTATGGCTTTGTTGTAGAAACATCTCCACTTGTAAGAAATGAAATTAACTGCAATGAAAAGCATTATTTTCAAGGGCTGTTTGGAAGAAAGAATCAAATCTACTTACAGACACTCTTTCCAGAAGTCTGCTCGACAACCGTTGAATACAGACTACTTCAACATTTCTTCTGCAGCCAGCAAAATTTAGTCACCGTTCAGAGGAGTTTCATCCCTACTGTTAAACAGATGATCCAGTTTGGTTTTTGAACTCCTTGATCCAACCTGTTTACATCAAAGGCAAACTTAACGATTCCACCGATTGCATTTGAGCAACACTCGTTGGAGGTAGCTCGTTACGACCATCTTGACAAAACCACAAGCCGCAGGTGTGAAAATCCTTCCAAATTTTCGAAATGTGGCATGTCACAATTCGCGAACATACCTATAGGTCTTCACATTGGAGTAAACAAAGTGTTCATCCTTAGCAACAATTGGAAAAATGTCAACGCTCGGCAGTGATGCTATTTTATATTATATTTTATGTGTTCTACTTGTCAACGTGCCAAATAGTGTGCCATGCTGTGTTTCGACACAGTGTGGAAGTTTAGTATGTGAATAATAACGATGCAGTCCAGATCTCTCCACTGAATATATTACTAGTTGTTTCTGATTGTTATTTCCGGCAAAAATTTAACTTTTTCTTCGTATAAACTCCAAACTATTCATAAATACATACAGCAAAGAGTATACAGATTTGAACTTAATTAATAGTACTATCCCCTACGAAATCCGGCAAGTTGCTTCCATCTCAGTAGACCGCGCACAAATGCCTTCACAAAATTGGCATTCTCGCACCAGTTATAGCACTTCTTCAAACTTACTCCAGTTGTGGCAAGTACCATTGATATGTGATTTAAACGGTTAGGCCTAACAACTGTGTGTAAATGTTTCCAACCAAGTGGCTCTGCAGGTAGACAATGTTGCCTGCTGAGCAGTTAATGGAGCATGTCAAAAGAATATCACCTTCCTAATTAATTAATAACTAATTATCCTGACGTTCAATTCAAATGCGGTGTTCTGCGGGGGCCTCCCTAAGGTCATTCGGTAAAGGCGCAGCTACAAAGCAACACCATGCTGGAGGTGGCTTGGTTCGATTCCCGATCCGGTCTAGACATTTTTCGGATTGGAAAATGTCTCGACTTCCCTGGGCATAGAAGTATGGTTGAACTTGCACACAATTATACTAATGGAAATATGGTACAAGCATCAAAAGCTCTCAATTAATAACTGTGGAAGTGCATCTAGGACACTAAGTTGAGAGCATCTGCTATTTTTCCACTGACATTATTTCCCTTCCCATGATAGATGTGGAGATGCAGAGTTATTTTGGTCTCTAGTAGAAACGTCTGCGTCTGCCATAATAACAATCTTTCTCCGATGACTGTAAGGAAGTAGCCGCTGTCGTTATTGGTCTTTAAAATACTACACACTTAAATTTTATTGCCGAGATTGGCACCGCTGACTAGCTCGGCATTTTGTTTTGCTGGGTCTCAGTGGAAAACATGCCGAGATTCAGCTAACAAACGAGAATTTCGCTGACATCTCAGCTAAAAAAATAGCAAATTTGCTGAGATTTCAGTGAAAAATAAATACCGACCTGATCAGCGGTGCTGATTTTTACCGAGCTAGATTGAGTGTGTAAAGTTTGCACTCTGAGAATGGAGTGCCAATCCCAAGTCCCATTAATTTGGTTGTTTGAGCAAATTTCGCTGGATATGGTCATTCGCGAAGTAGCAACTACGATTTGTACGGTCTTCAAGCTCATGCTCAATTAACTGACATAATACCGAGCGTAAAGTGCTTGAGCACACATTTTGCAGGTTTCTTCACACCTCACACTTAATCTAGCTCGGTAAAATCTTCAACAGCCGATTACCTCGGCATTTGCTTTTGCTGATATCTCTGTAAAATATCTGTTTGTTAGCTGATATCTCAGCAAAATGTTATTTGTTAGCTGAGTCTAGGCAATTGTTTTACTGAATCTCAGCAAAATAAATTGCAGAACTGCTCGGCTGTTGGAATCTCGGCGAAATAATTTAAGTGTGTACGACTGTTAAAGGCACATCTGATCAAGGGGTCCTCCGTCCATAAATTAAATTCCATTGATCGCTACATAAAAAAAATCTGTTTTCTCTTTTTCATTGTGATATGTAGAACTTTTGAAAGAAGCCCCTTTCAAATCGATTTGAATGTCTTGAAGACGGTAGTAAGTAATTTTGTCAAAATCACGGTACACTGTTTTGTATTGATAGTCAAGTATAGGTTAATAACTGGTTTCTGCAAAATAGTATTCCTAATAGGTGTGTTCCCGTACTTGCTTTTTTGCTTTTGCTGTAAATTGCTATAATAAAATCATATGATGGTACGGGAACATAATTATGAATTTTGCTGTACACAATCTTCCAGAAAAGCAAGTACGGGATTAAACCGAGGGGGGCGACTCTATCTACAATGCAGGAAAAATTGTGTTTTACTATGGTTAGCTGCACGCACGCTGAGTAGATAGAAAGAAGATTGATGAGATTTTTCGAAGATCGATTCGCTAGTGTGAGATTTGTTGAGCATCTAGAATTGAGATTTAGATGTGTCGCCCCTCGGATCAAACCTAGTATTACAACCAAACTTATTGCTTAGAGCCATAAGGCACAATGGGTGGCTACTGTATACTGCCTTAACTAACTACTGCAAATGTATGTGTAACTGTAAACTGCAGAATGCAAGAACTCGATGAAAAACATACTGTAGTGGCGAAATAACTTTTTGCAGGATCCATATGTTCCTACTAAAACTTCACATGGTGACGTTCATATAATGGTGAAAATCTAAAATCATAAAATTAGTCTTTCGACAGCTACATTGTAAAATCTGTAAATGCAATGATTTATTACAAACCCTGCATATCTCTTTTATTCAACACAGCATAACTTATTTATATTTCAGAATGCCACGACTGTTACCTACGAATCTTAACCCTTAAAAAAAGTCTATTGTTTCTAGATTGGCTTTCACACCCAAGCATGTAACATCATAATATACACACAATGACTCAGCAAGGAGGAGAATGTGGAGGTGAAAATGCCAAATTTAGATCTATTTCTCTTTTGACTATTTCGGCATCGCATAAATATTCATTTTGCATGCTGTGCTAATATCAAATCCATTGCTTGCAAAAAAAGAAAACCTAATGAAAAAGTTCGGCGAAAATGACAGATCAATATGACCTTTCAAAAAGCGTGCGAAAATCCGAGTGTAATCGAATTGTCATAAAACGGAATTCCATTTCCATTTTTCAACAATAAATGCAGTTTGACGAAGAATAAACTCCGCAGACTGAGTTTCTCATCGTCATCACGTACATATTAACACATCGTAAAGCACACCAAATCCTGCCAAAACTACTACCCATGTAGCGTAAAATATCTTTAGGGAACAATTTAGTGTAGGTCATCGCCGCAGAGGAACGATTAAATAAATTTTACAGCTATACCTTTCTCCTGCCGTCCCGAGTCGCCGTCGTGTGCTATCCTTGTCAATCCGAGTCGATAAAGATTATGAAACATGTAACATCCAAATCAGGATCGCCCGCAACGCTACTCAATCAGGAGCTTTAGAACACAAATAATTTTCTTCTCACTAGGAACATCAAAATTGAACAAAATGAATTTTTCAAATAATCCTTCCTTAATCTGCAATGGTCTACTAAAGAACACACTTATTCGCCACTCTGAGCCCGTGCGGCCGTTTTCCGCCTACCACCCGGCGTCCCGTTTCTACCACAGCATTCACAGGCAACCGAAGCAGCAAAAAACCATACACAGGAAGCGACTACACGACGACACTCACTAAGCCAACATCTCGAACTGAACGCTCACACAGGACTGAGGCAGCCCCGACAGGACGCGAATGCTTTCTCAATCACACATGTACCGCATTATGCTGCAAGAGCACAAATCCCGCTCCTATCAGCGACATACGGGTGGAAAAGCAAATCGATCCTCCCAACCACCCACCCGCGGTTCCACCTCGCCGGGAGATACGAAGATTTTCATGAATGAAAATCACGTGCTTGCTTCGTTACCTCGCAGCCGGCACCAGTGAGTGAAAGTGATGCAACGAGTGGGAAATGTGCTATCCTTTTACCAAAAAAAAAATGTCGTGCGCAATTTGAACTATACAGCTGGTGACATTTAGGTGCCTACTCGAAGTGCGGTGGGATTTTATTCGACAGGGACGTCCACAAATGGAGACTCGTGCATGGCTGCATACCACAATGATTATGGTACATTACCCCGAATGGTGTTACTTCGAATGCCATTTAATATGACCAAATGTTGCCAGTTGATGGCAAACATTAGCGGATTAGCGAGTCGATTTTCTTAGATCTTAGTCGGATTAGCGAGCCGAATTTATCTTTTAATAATAACTCGGCTGGATTAATATTTATCGGTGCGTTTGATGTTGAATTAGGTTCAGTGAACTGTGGCAATGCGAAGAGCAAATCTATGAAGAGAATTGTAACAAGATGTGTAAGTCCCCTTTATTCTGCGCCGCGAGTGAGGTGAGGTGATTCGCTGTCACTAGTGAGGTGACACAAGTCACCGCGAGTGAGGTGACTCACCATTTGATTTGTACGGAGAGTCACCTCACTCGCGGTGACTTGTGTCACCTCACTAGTGACAGCGATTCACCTCACCTCACTCGCGGCGCAGAATAAGGGGGAGTGTTGCGTCCAAGATTGGTGAGATTTATCGCGTGTAGTTTTTGTATATTTCGCCAGTGAGCATGCATATATAAGGGCGTAAACGCGATCATCTATGTGTGTAATTAATCATGTTTTGTTGTTTTTGACATCATCCACACCCAGAGGGCCAGTCACTTTCGAATGTATGGGAATGGTAGGAAACCATTTAGAAATACATGAAAATTTTCAGTTTTTATTCATTATCGTCTTTATGGGCAGTTTTAGATGCACAAAAATTGCACGAGTACATTACTATGGTGATAGGGTACCCGAGCAAAGTCGGTCAACAAAATGAAAGCAAATCGATATTAAAGTTTGCAGTGCCTATCATAATGAAAACTCATTTTGATTTCAATTGTCGCGACAGAAGTCTGATTTCATATTGTGCTTTCATTATGCAGTCAAGACATTTTAAATCAAAGCAACTTAACTTGAAGTTCTGCTGTTAATTTCTTGTTTAAAATTTGATTCAAGTTCATCTGTCGTTTATTTGTTTTGTTTAACACATTTTAAGTCATGCGTGACTAAACCGAGATGAGATTTGAGATCAAGTCTTTCAGCTAAACCTTATGAATGCAAAATCAGCAATTAAATTGATTTCATTGAAAACAGGATTAGTTTTCCGTTTGATTCAACAGTGTAAAATGTTGCTCTCATTTTTGCTGCGTTAACCGTTAAGTCAACCAAAATGAAATCAAATGGAGTATTCAAAATAAGTTACATCATAACAGCAAATTCTGATTTCAATTTGATCTCTAACTTTGCTCGGGTAAACACTCGTTTATTTGTTTCCTTCTGTGCAAACATGTTTAGTCACAAATCGTGGATTTTCTAATATTCTCCATACTGCAAAAATGATTTTCCTAACACTGAAGGGGCGACATCTCTCGGATCTTCAGTATAGCTACTACAGGCTACTACTCAAATCATTTATAAGCGCGTTTTCCCTTATTAAAAAGTGTGATAAAACTGCAAGTTTACGTCTAATCGTCTTGGTGTTTTGGGTGCACTTATTCCATAGAGGTAACTCCATAGAGGTAACTCTAAGACCACTGGGTCCCGAAGAAAATCATTATTATTTTTGGCTCACTCAGTACCAGAACAACGGTCCCAAGCAGTCCCAAGCTATTTCACTCACCCCTGCATGTTCTGCATGAATCCACACACCCCTGATGTTATCTGTCAAACTTTCATAGCGAATCAAAACAAACATTGTGTAGTACTAGAATTTCGACTAGAATGGGGTACGTTAATCGTTTGCTTGGGACCAATCTCGGGACCAATAGGCTAGTCAAGCAGTGAGCCAATTTAAAATCGTTAGTTTCGTATTGATTGTTGCTTATTCCTTATGATGCAAGCAATAAGTGCTCCAAAGACATCAAAACGCCATTTCGAATTCTCCATCGCGCCCACAAAACCTCGCGGTTTTATCAACAATCAATACGAAACTAACGATTTTAAATTGGCTCACTACTTGACTAGCCTATTGGTCCCAAGCAAACGATTAACGTTCCCCATTCTAGTCGAAATTCTAGTACTACGCAATGTTTGTTTTGATTCGCCATGAAAGTTTGACAGATAAAATGAGGGGTTAGTGGATTTTCCTATGTTTCGAGGGGTGAATCGATTAGCTTGGGACCGAAGAGAGTACCAGAACTGAGCCAAAAAGTTGAGCACGTTATTTCGGGACCTTCTTGTCTTAGAGTTACCTCTATGGTTTTATAGCATAGAGGTAACTCTAAGACAAGAAGGTCCCGAAGAAACGAGCTCAACTTTTTGGCTCAGCTCTGGTACTATCATAGAGATAACTCTAAGACAAGTAGGTCCCGAAGAAACGTGCTCAACTTTTTGGCTCACCTCTGGTACTATCTTCGGTCCCAAGCTTGTCGAATCACCCCTCGAAACATAGGAAAAACCAATAACCCCTCATTTTATCTGTCAAACTTTCATAGCGAATCAAAACAAACATTGCGTAGTACTAGAATTTCGACTAGAATAGGGTACGTTAATCGTTTGCTTGGGACCAATAGGCTACTAAAGTGGTGAGCCAATTTAAAATCGTTAGTTTCGTATTGATTGTTGGTACTATCTTCGGTCCCAAGCTAATCGATGCACCCCTCAAAACATAGAAAAATCCACGAACCCCTCATTTTATCTGTCAAACTTTCATAGCGAATCAAAACAAACATTGTGTAGTACTAGAATTTTGACTATAATGGGGTAAGTTAATCGATTTGCTTGGGACCAATAGGCTAGTCAAGTAGTGAGCCTATTTAAAATCGTTATACCATTGACAGACATACAAAGCAGTACCGTTGTACCAACAATCAATACGAAACTAACGATTTTAAATTGGCTCACCACTTTAGTAGCCTATTGGTCCCAAGCAAACGATTAACGTACCCTATTCTTGTTGAAATTTTATTACTATACTATGTTTGTTTTGATTCGCTATGAAAGTTTGACAGATAACATCAGGGGTGTGTGGATTCATGCAGAACATGCAGGGATGAGTGAAATAGCTTGGGACTGCTTGGGACCGTTGATTTTAATTAGCTTAATTATCAGTTTATTACCATGTTGCGATTGTGAATAGAAACCAAATATTAAATAACTATAAGTATGTGTCTTATTAGTATAAAATATTGTTTCATGATTCAATAAACTAAATATATTGAAGTCAAATGGATTTGAACACATAAAAAGATTTCTCTACTGTTAACTGTTATCGCGTGTGAAAGTGAAAAAAAAATTTCAATTGTGAACATAAAAAATATACAATCACTTTAGAGCGTCGCAATGATTGCCTGCAACATCACGTTCTTCTCCGATATAAGCTCTCTATCGCGCATCACTGCGCAGCGTCCGCATCGAAGATCGATCAAAATTGGTTTAAAGTTAGCGTACTTTAAACACGTCAGTTAGTGGGCTAGATTGATGGTGCCTAGAAGTCAGCGTCCAGTGTGAACACGTTGTCAAGTCGGTTAGCCATCACACCCCACTTTTGATACTCGCCCACCTTCTTCTCAAAGAAGTTGGTCTTGCCTTCGAGGGAAATGAACTCCATGAAGCTGAACGGGTTCTTTGTGTTGTAGATCTGAAAATCAATAAAGATATGTGGTTACTATAAATGGTTTCAGGTGGAAGGTGCTGGATCAAGCTAACCTTCTCGATGCCCAACTCGAGCAATAGTCGGTCAGCTACGAATTCGATGTATTGCGACATCAGATCACAGTTCATACCCAGCAGATCAACCGGTAGGGCTTTCGTCAAAAATTCTTGCTCAATCACGACTGCTTCCCGGATGATTGCGATCACACGTTCCTGCGACGGTTTTTGGACCAGATATCTGAACATCAAGCAAGCGAAATCCGTATGGAGGCCTTCATCGCGCGAAATCAACTCGTTGGAGAACGTAAGTCCTGGCATCAGTCCGCGTTTCTTTAACCAGAAAATTGATGCGAAACTGCCACTGAAAAAGATACCTTCGACGGCGGCAAATGCAACCACTCGTTCTCCAAAGTTGGCTTTTTTGCTCGAGATCCAGTTCAATGCCCAGTCAGCCTTCTTCTTCACACAGGGCAAGTTATCGATTGCGTTAAATAAATAATCTCTATGGGTGTAAAATAACAAAAACAAACAGGAGACAGGACTTGATTAGCTTGGCAGAAATATGACACTTTTAGAGATAGTATGTTATTGTGAATAGGCCATATGTTGTGTCGCAAATTCCAATGAATGAAATGTGATTCGCTAAGCTTCATGGGAATCCAGACGGAAACATACCTTTCTTTAGAATCGCGAACATAAGTATCGATGAGCAACGAGTACATTTCACTGTGTACGTTTTCCATCGCAATCTGGAAGCCGTAGAAACAGCGCGCCTCGGTGACCTGAACTTCCTGGCTGAAACGTTCAACAAGGTTTTCATTGACGATACCATCGGAAGCTGCGAAGAAGGCCAGCACATGTGAGATGAAGTGCTTTTCCCCGGATTTGAGCTTCTCCCAATCGCCAAGATCCTTCGAAAGGTCTACTTCTTCCACTGTCCAGAAGGATGCCTCCGCCTAGTTCGAAAGAGTTATGAAACACTGATCAATATTTCCCACAAACGCAAATTGTTAACCACTTACCTTCTTGTACATCTGCCAAATGTCATGATACTGTATTGGGAAAATGACAAACCGACGGGGATTGTCCTTGAGCAGCGGTTCAATGGAGGGATCGAACGGTACCTGTTCGTACTTATGAGCGGTGGCCAACTCGATGGAACCGTCGATTGCTTGTTCCTTGTCTTGATGGTCCATCTTTTGAGGCACGTTTGCTCCGCTTTCGGTCAGCACTTTGCGAGCATTCTGGAAAGAAAGTAGAACTTGTCTTCAAATAATCTGCACTGCAATCCACAAACTTACAGGAGATCAACAACAGCAGCATTGTCCCCCTCATTGCAATAGTGGGAACATAGTGAAAATACTGACTTTTTGCTTCATCACCGAGAAGTGTTCATCTACTTCCATTGCATTGCAATAAACCTCAGACTGGCAGAGCTGTCTACCTCAATTGCCTTGAGGTAGGCATATACTGGCTGTCATTGCAGATTGAAGTGTATACTTTTTAGCACGCAGAGACGCAGAATCACCAAACAGCTGATGAACTGGTTCAACGATTTGCACGTTGGTACGACGAAAGGTATCGAAGTTGATATGTTAATGTTAACAGATGTTATGTTTGATTTGAATATCGAATTTGTTTTGTAAGTCCATCTTTTACTGGATGAAATGCCTTGGTGACCAGGAGTTCTAGCTCAAAGTATATAAATAGAGGGTTCTAGAATCGCCAAAAATTACCATGAATCTATAAATTAGTCCTAAAACTTTAAAAGTTTATTAAAGACATAAGGGAATAGATCCTCCAAAATGCCCTAAAAACGCCAATAATGTCTTGAAAACGCTAAAAATAGCATTGAATTGCCTTTGAAAGCGCTACTAGCCAACGTGCTGTCCTTATAAGTAGTCGCGGTAGTTGACGACTACATACCAACAGACAAAAAAAAACCATTTATTATTAAAATTTTGATCAATTAGGATTACGAGAAGCGATAACAAATTTTACTTGGAGAATGGTAATCAAATTTGATTTCCAAAACCGCAAACAAATTTGGATTACGAGAAGCGAAGTCAAATTTTACTTGGAAAATTGCAATTCAATTTGGATTACGAGAAGCAAGGTCAAATTTTACTTAGAAAACGAATTTGGCTCACGAGAAGCTAAGTCAAATATTACTTGGACAATTGCAATTCAATTTGAATTACCAGAAGCGAATTCAAATTTTACGTGGAAAAGCGCAAACGAATTTGGCTTACGAGAAGCTTAATCAAATTTTATTTGGAAATGCGCAATCAAATTAGGATTCCGAGAAGCGAAGTCAAATTTTACTTGGAAAAGCGAAATCAATTTGGATTTTGAGAAGCGAAGTCAAACTTTACTTGGAAAATTGCAATCGAATTTGGATTACGAGAAGCGAAATCAAACTTTACTTGGAAAATTGCAATCGAATTTGGATTACGAGAAGCGAAGTCAAATTTGATTTGGAAAAGCGCCAATGGATTTAGATTTCGAGAAGCGAAGTCAAATTTTACTTGGAAAAGCGGAAATCGATTTGGATTTCGAGAAGCGAAGTCAAACTTTACTTGGAAAATTGCAATTCAATTTGGATTACGAGAAGCAAGGTCAAATTTTACTTAGAAAAGCGCAAACGAATTTGGCTCACGAGAAGCTAAGTCAAATATTACTTGGAAAATTGCAATTCAATTTGAATTACCTGAAGCGAAGTCATATTCTACGTGGAAAAGCGCAAACGAATTTGGCTTACGAGAAGCTTAATCAAATTTTACTTGGAAATGCGCAAACAAATTAGGATTCCGAGAAGCGAAGTCAAATTTTACTTGGAAAAGCGGAAATCAATTTGGATTTTGAGAAGCGAAGTCAAACTTTACTTGGAAAATTGCAATCGAATTTGGATTACGAGAAGCGAAGTCAAACTTTACTTGGAAAATTGCAATCCAATTTGGATTACGAGAAGCAAGGACAAATATTACTTGGAAAATTGCAATTCAATTTGAATTACCTGAAGCGAAGTCATATTCTACGTGGAAAAGCGCAAACGAATTTGGCTTACGAGAAGCTTAATCAAATTTTACTTGGAAATGCGCAATCAAATTAGGATTCCGAGAAGCGAAGTCAAATTTTACTTGGAAAAGCGGAAATCAATTTGGATTTTGAGAAGCGAAGTCAAACTTTACTTGGAAAATTGCAATCGAATTTGGATTACGAGAAGCGAAGTCAAACTTTACTTGGAAAATTGCAATCCAATTTGGATTACGAGAAGCAAGGACAAATATTACTTGGAAAATTGCAATTCAATTTGAATTACCTGAAGCGAAGTCATATTCTACGTGGAAAAGCGCAAACGAATTTGGCTTACGAGAAGCTTAATCAAATTTTACTTGGAAATGCGCAATCAAATTAGGATTCTGAGAAGCGAAGTCAAATTTTACTTGGAAAAGCGGAAATCAATTTGGATTTTGAGAAGCGAAGTCAAACTTTACTTGGAAAATTGCAATCGAATTTGGATTACGAGAAGCGAAGTCAAACTTTACTTGGAAAATTGCAATCGAATTTGGCTTACGAGAAGCGAAGTCAAATTTCACTTGGAAAATTGCAATTCAATTTGAATTACGAGAAGCAAAGTCAAATTTTACTTAGAAAAGCGCAAACGAATTTGGCTTACGAGAAGCTAAGTCAAATATTACTTGGACAATTGCAATTCAATTTGAATTACCAGAAGCGAAGTCAAATTTTACTTGCAAAATTGAAACCGAATTTGGATTACTTGGAAAGTTGCCACTTAAGGGTTAACTATTATTTAAAAAGTGAGCCCCAACGAAGCCATAGCCTATTAATGGATCAATAAAGCACAGACAAACAGACATAAAACATTGAATAATTCTCACTGTAAAACATCGTCGCTAAAACATTACCGCCATCTGTTGAGCACACTGTGGTGGGTAGTACACTGAACAGATGGCGGTAGTGTGTAAACGTCAAATGCAACGGAATTGACTATGCGCGCTACAGGTGGCGGTACTACCAACTGCGATACTTTTAAATTGTCCGTTAAATGCTTGTTCGATGAACAACTTACGAGTGTTATGTCTGTCTGTCTGTGAATAAAGTATAATTTTTTTTGAGGGAAAGTGTAAACACAATAAATGAGTAAAATTGTACACATACTAATGATTATTATTATTATTACAGAAGTGAATAAAAGTTAATATTTTTTTGAGAAACAGTTACTCCAAATTGGGTAAAAAATTTAATCATTAGATGAGTCATCCCACATTTCCTCGAAAAATGCATACTTTATTGTCATTATAGAGTATTTTGATGTTACCGTATGCTTTGTTGTTGCTTGTCTTGTTGTAAATTGCACCTTAATTACTGAATGATTGTGCCTTAAGGTTCAATTTACTTTGATGCTTTTTGGAAAATTTCAAAAGCAGTTTTTTTTCCGACGCATTATTTCAGATTGCAAAAAGCTCGCACTATTCGATTCCTTCTGATATGTTACACAAGATGAGGCGAGCTTTTTATAATCTAAAATAATGCGTCGAAAAAAACTGCTTTTAATTTTTTTAAAAATCATCAAAGTTAATTGAACCTTAAGCGAACACCACACGTATTAATATATTGACACGAAGGGGAATTATTGGCAATAATATTGATGATGTTATGTCAATATAGACTATATTGACAATACGATTATTGTCAATGAAAGCAATTGTGTAGGGTCCACTTTAGAGTTTCTAGAAGTATTCATTCATCACGCACACATAAACGAACTCATTCATAAATTCATTCATTATCATTATTTCCAACACTACATCACATCGACTACATGAATGAAGAACGTAAATAGGATGCATTGATGACAAGGGAAAACTACGAGGAATCCGTGCTCACTTTCATGTTCTTTCCTGAATTTTCGAGCCGTTATCCAACGACCACATGAAGCGCGTTTAACGGTCGCCCTTCACCGCTCATGCTCTTTTCACCGATCACATTATTTACATACAATTACAACAAATACCAATAGTATAATCACAATTAACGCCAGTAGTATTATTGATCCATTTGCTATAATGTGCTAGTTAAGAGAAAAACTATAAAAATAAGTAAGCAGTGAAAGGAGACCGGTTGATGGCGACCTTATTCTGTCCGGTTTTAGTTGGGGACAATGGAATATTCCAGAATACACTGTAGCAATAAATTCTGAACATTTGGTGTGAACACCATGTTTAGAAACAACCACCTACATGGAAAATGGCACAAACTCCACTATAAAATTAGTACTTACACTACGTACAATGGATCATAATCATTCTAGAAGTTGAAAATTACGTTTTATACCATTCGAACTTCACCATGGTCATGGAGCTATATTTTGAAAAAAAAAATCTCCTGGAGCTTCGAGGAAATACGGTTTTATTTATGATAGACTAATTCCGAAATTCAGTGCTCAATTTCCATAAAATCACTGATAGAATAATGTCCAAAAGCTGCTCGGCTATATGATAAATTTAAAACTCATTATCGATTCAAAGACTACGTCCCGCTTGACTACACAATTAAAGTTTATAACGTGTAAAACTAAGATATGTCATCAATCTCATCAGAAAACTGCAAACAAAACTATTGAATTATTATTCAAGGTTGCAATTGATCATAAGCAGTTAAAATTGATGAAATCCGATTCAATAGAATCCAGGGCCTTGGAAGGAAAATTCCATTAAGCAAAATTTGCTTAGTGTGGTTTATTTTATATTGATCTTGGTTTCCCTAGACATGTAACATTTAGCAATTTTAGAGTTTCGGGTTTAAAAACAGCCATCATTATGTAGAATAGTTATTCTGCTATAAAATACTACTATGGTATACAATTTACCATAGACGATACCAAAAACCTAAAATAGTAACACTAAACACCATGTTTCCCACGTAAGCATTTACGATCCATCACTAGGCCATTTTGCCGCGCTTTTTGAACAATCATGAAATAACAAAGGAGCGTTAACCCTAAGCGGCATTTTAATTATTATAGAGGAAGTACCACTAACCTTGATGGAAATCTTTTCCAAGTGTTCGGAAACATTTTCCTTTTCCATGACGAGCGACATTCTTAGCTTGGTTGTTTATGGTTTGTAACTTTGTAACTACCTCAAAATTAACACTGAAGTCACTTTTTCACTAATGGCTGCAGGTACACCCTTGCTAAGTGTACAAGAGAAGAGAACAACTTTAATAGGTCCACTTGGGAAGCGATCGGAACGTGAAATGACTTCAAGGGATAGAAATTTGGCACATCAAGAAGATCGTCCATTCAATCGGACAGCAAAAAAACCGCGAAAACCGGGAAATCAACACTGCAGGAGGCGGCAAAATGCGAGTACACTGATATGTGTGCGTGAGTGGGGTATGCTGCGCTCTCTTTTCGGCAAATGGGAAACCATACGTGATCAGCTGGCCGCCACCTTCACTTCGGTGTACATCAGAATCGTGCGTACACCCACACACTCACAAATTTACGTCTGTGTTTCGGTTATTTCGCAACGCATTCATCGCGCGCTGTTTTTCATGCGACAGAGGGTACACCAGTTTGGCCGAAAGAACAAACTGACGAAAATGAACTCCTGCACACTGATAATTTAATTCAAAAATTATATTTTTCAAATTTACACGGTAAGATTCACATACCTAAAATTCGGTGAAGGTTATTGCGGAATTTTTCTTCATTTAGACTCAAGTAATTTTATTTTCGTCGTTCTCAAATTTCGCTTTCGATTTAGCTCTCACCAATCCCATCTTGAATCATATATAACGCTTGGTTTCCATGACATTTTGTCTGATGTTTACTTTTGACTCCTTTGTTGCAAACCAGCTGGTTAATCCGCTTCCATATTATGTTTACTTTTGACCCCTTTGTTATCGAGCTCACAGCTAGTCATGTTTACATAAAAAATCCAGCTGGTGAACCTGTTTGCACGCGAAAATGACAAGAAAAAAGCTGAAATGGTAAGAGTTTCAAAAGCCACAGAAGATTTCAGCAGCTTCCACATTTCTTCGAGAAAATCAAAATAATCATAGAGATTGCTGATGTTTATCGTACGCACACTACACAGCAAAAAAAATGTAATATCGGTCAATGTAATTCAAGCTGATGTATGAAATAATGCTGTAATAGCAAAAAGCAGATACAATATTACATCAATGGATGTAATTTTGTTCGTAAAATCGATATACATCATACAACCAGCGGAATGACCTCTGTGCAGACCTCTGTGTAATATCCACCACCTTTCTTTTTTTCTATATATACACACAAAAAATTATCGTTAGTACAACTGAAAAAACCATTGGTATAATTAAAAGTTTTCGTTGGTTCTTTTTGGTAGAAAGTCTTTAGCTTTCAAAACAAAAGTCAGCTAACTGTCAATTCAAAAGTTGCGTGCATGCTACTTTTAAAAGTTGAAACTTTCAAAACGAATTGTAGTTCTGTCAAATGAAAAGCATGATAGTGTTATAATTAAAAGTGGATTATTTTTGTATTGAATCAAACTTTTGTCATGAAAGTTTGGTATAGTTGAAATAACATGTGCCGTTTTGAATCTATAACATAAGTATTTTCAATTTAAATTCAAGCATTTTCAACATTACAATATCAATTTTGATTTTAATTTTTTATAAATATTATTTCTATTAATTATTTTTTTATGAATTAAAAAAATAACCTCAAATATATTTATTAATATCCACAAGAATATACGTATTGTAAAATATAACAAATATTATCCATAGGCTCTCAGCGAGTATAAAATCGTTGTCATTGTTCTGCTTTATCACAAAAGTTGGATCACCGACGAGGTTGGATGGAATCCGGAACCCAGATGGATTTTTTCTGCCGATTATTGATTCGGACCTATTGATGACAACGGTAGATTTCATCGTCTGGAAATAAAATAAAGCTTACTTGATGCAATAATATTGATAATTAAATACTTACAATTTTAATTGTTGATGTCACCGCGTGCGAACTACATATCCGGCAAAACCAGCAATCCGGCAAGTAAGAATATTGCCTTGAATATCTAACGAATTTAATTTATGCTTCTAGTTTCGTTCCACACAAAGAACATGATTTGCAAATTTTGACGTCAAGGTTAAAATTAGCGGCAAATCTATGTCCAGTGCTGCCAAAAACGTTGCTATGACAAGGTGTTTTTGACAGTTAAACAGTTTTAATTTTAAAAATATGCACTTTTAAAAATACAAGTTGAAAATGAAAAATAAACTTTCAAAACAAATCAAATACTTTCATTTTGAGAATTTTCGTGCTTAAAAGTATCAAAGTCGGGAAACTTTTATTTTGAAAATGTATGGTTTTTATTGATACAATTTTTGTTTTTTGTGTGTAAAAAATTACCGATAATCCGACAATGACACATTCTCATCCTAAATTAATTTTATCCTCAAATCTCAATTCCTATTGGCAAATCAAACACGCAGAAAAATTTATCGTTGAAACAAACATATTTAAGGTAATAAATTTACCTCAGTTTTTAAACTCAGTTTTTTCTGGCCACAAAAATAAACTAGGTTCATTTCAAACGCATTCCATGTTAAGGTATTAGTACACGAGACAAATATTTGTCTTAATTTGACAGATACATTAAATGTATCTGTCATATTAAGACAAATATTTGTCTCGTGTACTAATACCAACAATCAATACGAAACTAACGATTTTAAATTGGCTCACCACTTTAGTAGCCTATTGGTCCCAAGCAAACGATTAACGTACCCTATTCTAGTTGAAATTCTATTACTACACTATGTTTGTTTTGATTCGCTATGAAAGTTTGACAGATAACATCAGGAGTGTGTGGATTCATGCTGAACATGCAGGGGTGAGTGAAATAGCTTGGGACTGCTTGGGACCGTTGTTCTGGTACTGAGTGAGCCAAAAATAATAATGATTTTCTTCGGGACCCAGCGGTCTTAGAGTTACCTCTATGCTAATACCTTTAGAAGTCATGTGATATCGATGTTTAAAATAAACATAATGCTACGTTTATTTCATAAATATTCTTGCTGAAAATAAACGCGCATATTTTTGAATGATTTGTCAACTATGGGAACAAAAATATATGTATTTATTTTAAACATGCTGTTCATTTTTAAAACAAACATACATGTTTTTTTAATTATTTTAGAAGGTATTTGAATGCGCTATTAAAGCAAAATAAATTGCTCAATTACTCAAAATAAAGATGATTAGTCATCTTGTTATCACTTTGAAACCCATCTAACAGCATTTTATAGTATGGTGCGTTTTGAGTAAATCAAGTTCCGTTGCGTCCTCCGTTGAAAATTGTGAGTATCAATATGTTTACCAAAATGAACATTTATTGAATATTGGCGTCCTATACAACCATTTCTCCATCATCACCAGCATGATACAAAGGTCGTTTACTTTTTTTTTTATTCATACGGCTCAATCTTTCCTGAGTAAATTCACTTAATTTCCATTTTCATCTTAGTGGAAATCGCACATATTCACCAATTTCCAAAAAATGCAGCTGCGCAGGAGGTAACCTCTCCCTGCGGGTGCAAACTTGGTAATTTTCCATGAAAACGTCTCCAATCCATACTGAAATAATAACAGTAAGTTTGCAAACACGTTTTCCTACACGATTCAAGCAAAAGTTTCTATTAGTTTTTCTTTATGGACCGATTTGCCCCGAAAATCGTCTGTTTTACTTGGAGAACTAGGAAAGTATCATCACAGAGAACAGATGTTCAAGTTCGGTCAGAAACTTGTGTAAAATAAGTGGGAACGTCGCCGTTACGTGGTGTTAGCATCTCCTGATTTTCTCTATAAATTTTCCACTTTCAACCAATTTGGCGCTAGTATCGATAAATTTTCTGTTGAAAATTGCCACTTGGCGCTACTAGCACTTAGTGTCTAGTGTAATTTGTGCAACGCCAGCGCCATCATGTTGTCAAAGAGAGTTTTTAAGAGGGGAAGTCGCCGTTAGTGGCGCTTAAGTCAAATAGGAATCTTTACACAAGTTTTTAGAGAAATGTTGTTCGAGCCTTCATGTCTGTTCTCTGTGTTATCATCCTTCTAGTATTTCTCACTTCGAAATGTAGGTGGCGAAAGCTTGGAAAAGTTTCACTGCATGACGCCAATTGGGTTCTTTAATTTTGAAAAATATATCGGTTTTTATATTGATGAATCCACGTTACGGTCGGCCAGTAGATGGAAATGATGTGAAAATGATAATGACGTTTTGCTAGCTGTCAAATCGTATGGAATATTTTTTAGTACATCATCACTTTTGTGGTTTTGGATTTCAAACCTAGGTGTTGCATGCACTGGTGCAGTTTTGCGTAGATTCATCAATATCATCTGAAAGAGCTTCGTTTTCTGAGCACAGCGATATTTTTTTCAAACCCACACACTTTCATCTCGATTTTTAAATCAAGATTTAAAGCAAAATAATAACTTCACTGTTTGACACTAAACCCACAGAGAACAGACATGGGGCTCGAACAAAATTTCTCTAAAAACTTGTGTAAAGATTCCTATTCGACTTAAGCGCCACTAACGGTGACTTCCCCACTTAAAAACCCTCTTTGACAACATGATGGCGCTGGCGTTGCACAAATTACACTAGACACTAAGTGCTAGTAGCGCCAAGTGGCAATTTTCAACAGAAAATTTATCGATACTAGCGCCAAATTGGTCGAAAGTGGAAATTTTATAGAGAAAATCAGGAGATGCTAACACCACGTAACGGCGACGGTCCCACTTATTTTACACAAGTTTCTGACCGAACTTCAACGTCTGTTCTCTGTGATAGTAATGCACTCGTGCAATTTTTGTACATCTAAAACTGCCCATAAAGACGATAATGAATAAAAACTGAAAATTTTCATGCATTTCCAAATGGTTTCCTACCATTCCTATACATTCGAATGTGACTGGCCCTCTGGATGTGGATGATGTCAAAAACAACAAAACATGATTAATTGTTGGTCTTGATACATTCGATGAATTACCAACAACTGACTGTAAAACATATCTGGTACCTCTATTGGAAGATTGCCGTAAAAGCTCAACGCAGATGTCGCCACGGCATGATGTTGATAATGTTGACAGACTGCATATAAAATTCGTGAAAATTAGCATTAAAGCATAATTTTTATCAAGCCTGCGTAAAATCCTTCCAATATAACATTCGAATTGAAGAAGAAAATGTTTTCACGATCATACTGATGTGCATCTTTGACTTTTCCAGATGAACTTTCATTAGATATATTCATTTAATTTCACAGCTCCATCAATGCTGCATCGTACATATGATGTAAACAGAAGTAAATTGCTCAATAACTCAAAATAAAGATGATTTGTCATCTTGTTATCACTTTATAAACCATCGAGCACCATTTTATAGTATGGTGCGTGTTGAGTTAATCAAGTTCCGTAGCGGTTTCCGTCGAAAATTGTGAGCATCAATATGTTTACCTAAAAAAGCTAAAATGAACATTTATTGAATATTGGCGTCCTATACATCCATTTCTCCATTATCACCAGGATGATACAATCTTTCTTAAGTAAATTCACTTAATTTCCACTTTCATCCTAGTCACAGAGAACAGACATGGAGGCTCGAACAAAATTTCTCTAAAAACTTGTGTAAAGATTCCTATTTGACTTAAGCGCCACTAACGGCGACTTCCCCACTTAAAAACCCTCTTTGACAACATGATGGCGCTGGCGTTGCACAAATTACACTAGACACTAAGTGCTAGTAGCGCCAAGTGGCAATTTTCAACAGAAAATTTATCGATACTAGCGCCAAATTGGTCGAAAGTGGAAAATTTATAGTGAAAATCAGGAGATGCTAACACCACGTAACGGCGACGTTCCCACTTATTTTACACAAGTTTCTTACCGAACTTGAACGTCTGTTCTCTGTGTCCTAGTGGAAATCGCACATATTCACCATTTTCCGAAAAATTCAGCTGCGCAGGAGGTAACCTCTACCTGTGCGTGCAAACTTGTTATGCATAATTTTCCATGAAAACATCTCCGATCCATACAAAAATAATAACAGTTAGGCCACGGCCAGGGTAGACGCGACACGCGACGCGACGCGATGCGACTCACGCAAGGAATAATAATAAATAATAAGATTCTTTTGAATTGGTCGCGTCGCGTCGCGAATCGCGTCTACCCTGGCCGTGGCCTTAGTTTGCAAACACGTTTTCTTACACGATTCAAGCAAAAGTTTCCACCGGAAATTATTAGTTTTTCTTTATGTACCGATTTGCCCCAAAAATCGTCTGTTTTACTTGGAGAATTTAGAAACTATCCTCCTTCTAGTAGTTCTCACTTCGAAATGTAGGTGGCGAAAGCTTGGAAAAGTTTCACTGCAAGACGCCAATTCAGTGCCAACATTTCAAAGGGGCGTAATTGCTTTTGTAAACAATGACTTTAGCCGTCAATTTCTCGCGAATGAAATCTTACCTCTCCAAAATGACAATGCTAACTGGTAGAGGAAACATCTCTCTACCTGCTGGTGTCATTATTTTTCATGAGTGAGCTTTTATTCACGAGAAAACGACGGCTAAAGCCATTGTTTACAAATGCAATTACGCCTTTTTGAAATGTTGGCACTGAATTGATATCAAAACGTCATTACCATTTTCACCCACTCGCCATCTGAGAGTCAATCGTCACTTTGATTATTCAATTATAACATCGACCCTGTACAAAGTTACCCAAATTTTAGGGAATATTTGAATAGTGTGTATAAAGTGTACTAAAATCGTGCATCTTTCTTCCTCCTTTGCAATCCCGCTTTAAACGTCCATGCTGCATCTCATCTCAATCGAAATCTTATCAGAAAATTCACATTTTGCTACTTTGATTTTTTTTTTAGGTTATAGAATCTCTAAACCAACAGAAAGGAAGGTGCGGAGTGAAAATTTTTCTTCTGCCCATCTGCAGTTCGGAGTGTGAAATTTGATGACCATTTATCGCGAGGTTTGTAGTCGAATTCCAAGCGTGTGGCCAGCAGCATCGTGGTTCCAGTGATCACTCACGGGTAGCGGTGTGGGAGAAATTGCATTTGAAACCGGAAGACCTAAGAACGGAAAGACAGTCACTAGATATCATCGGTTTCGTTCGGTGAGAAAAATATCATTCCTGTATTGTATCGGCGGACAAACGCGTGATTGGCGAAAATGGAGCAAATCATCCGGAATTTGTTGGTAGCGGATACTGAATTAATACAACAGGTTAGTACACCGGCTAGTCGGAACCGGAAACCGATTTTTTTTTTCTATTCAGAAGCGCCACTCCATCGTTGATTCGTAGATAATCAAGAACCTTGGCAATCATTAGCATTCATGTGTATTACCTACAAACTTTTTTTTTTTCATCATTGCATTGCATCTCCGCACACGTTCGTGCTACCACTTTTGCGCAATGAACGCGCGGGGTGCAGAAGGTGTAGAATGGTGAGTTAAAAACACCCGCCCTCCTACTGTATACCCGAAACCAAAGAAAGGAAGAAAACCGCCTGTTTCATTCAACATTATTGCCTCCACCACCGAAAGTACCATCGACGTCGTTGTCTAGCATTTACTTTGCAGGCAGAGAGGATGTGTATTTATCTCGTGTTGATTTCTTTTTTTGGACCCGTGCGTTTTTGCTGCGCTGGCTATGTTATAGAGAGCTAATGGAGCTAATTTAATGGAATATGATTCACGCGGACAGAATTCCTGCACAGTTTGCTTGCCGCGTGTTTTCGGGATGATTGCCCCAGCCATTCGTTGAGTATGACTAACCTTGAGGGTTTATTGATAGGGTTTGATAGCATCCCGCATAGTTTAGCTTATATAGGGCTTAATTGAGCTGTGTAATTGATTTCGAAGGAAGCATTATTAGAGATGGATATGTTCATAGCCATTATCTTTTTTCAGTTTGGAACAAAATTGTTTGCAATTATTGTTATGAAAGCTTCTCTGCAAGTGGCTCTTTTTCAATCAGAGTTAGTTTATTTAACGACTGAAACAAGATATGATGCACTCATAATATGATTATGATCTAATCACGTTTTAAGGCGTAGAACCTTAATACGTATATTTGACTATGTCTCGGAACTAACTAGTAAACATTGTTTCCCCTAACAGGCCAGCGCCGATCTGAAGGAGGCCTTCAAGCGCCCAGAGGCAGTTCCCCAGTTGTGCGAAATCGTCGTGTCCCACAATGATCCCCAGATCCGTAAATACAGTGCCATGCTGTTGAAGAAACAGCTCAGCAAACTACGGAACTGGCAACAGGTTCCGGTCGAACAGCAGGCACTAATCAAGCAAGGTATGCTGGAAGCCATCGTCAAGGAACCTGATAACTCTGTTCGCACTGCGATCACAGCTTTCGTGGGCATACTGGTGCGCCACGAAGCGGCCAAAGACAATGTCTGGATGAACGAGGTGCTCAAGTTCATGTTCGACAGCACGAGCTCCAGTGATCCCAAGATGGCCGAAGTTGGATCAGCCACATTTGCCACCTTGGCGGACACTTCACCGGATCAGTTAATTCCGCACTTTGAAACAGTATGCCAACTGTTCTCTTCGGCGCTGGTAGCAACTGAAGCTAGCGGAAATATGGCCACTCCTGTTGTCTTCAACATCCTACAGGGAATGTCCCATTTGGTGCGATTCATAACCGGTCATCCAGTAGCTGAAAACACCTACCAGGCGTCGATCCCGTACGTCACCAAGGCGCTACTCGGTTTTGCTCATCAGGATTCTTTCAAATTTATCGAAGCTTTCGATATCCTGGAAAATCTAGCTGACGAGTCCTCACGAATTTTAACCCCTCATGTGCCACTGCTAATCGATTTTTGCTTGGAAATCGCCAAGAGCCCTCTGGATGATTCTATTCGGGTGAAAGCCATCACCTATATCGGATGGTTGGTTCGATTGAAGAAGAAAATAATCATCAAGCAGAAATATGTCGAGCCGATCGTATTCGCCCTGTTCGGCTTGATGAGTAATGATCCAGATATCGAAGATGAAGTGGAAGAATACTTCGGTAGTAATGAAGTATCCACCCCGAGCACCTGTGCCGCCCAGACGCTGGACGTACTGGCATTGCACATTCCTCCAAAGCAACTGATTCCTCCGTTGATGGCCCTTGTCGAACCAGCCCTCCGTGGAAACTCTCCACTGGAGAAGAAAGCTGCATATCTCTCGATTGCCGTCATTGCTGAAGGTTGCTCGGAACACATTTGCAGCAAATACTTGAAACCTCTTCTGGATGTGATCAAAACCGGCATTACCGACGCTCACCCGTTGATTCGTAATGCAGCTCTATTCGCCCTGGGACAGTTCTCCGAGCATCTCCAGCCGGAAATCTCGCAATACGCCGAAGAAATTCTTCCCATCCTGTTCGAATTCCTGCAGCAACTGTGCCTGCAGATTCGCAGCGGTGGCATGGAACCTCGTCACATTGATCGGGTATTCTACGCTCTGGAGACATTCTGCGAAAATCTCGAAGATCAACTGACGCCTCATCTACCAATTTTGATGGACCGTCTTTTCGAAGCACTTGATTCACGGAACACGGTTCATCTGAGGGAGCTATCATTGACCGCAATTGCCGCCACTGCAAATGCAGCTAAAGTCCACATGCTTCCATATTTCCCTCGCTTGATCGATAATCTGAAAATGTATCTGGTGAAAACGGAAGATGAGGACATTTGCACTTTGCGCCCCCAGGCTATCGACACCTTTGCTGCCCTGGTGAGAACGATCGGAAAGGACAACTTCCTTCCATTGGCAGTGGACACCCTCAACCTTGGTTTAACCATGTTAGACGGCTGTAACGATCCAGATCTGCGAAGAAGCTGCTATAATTTGTTTGCCTCGATGGCTTCTTCTGTGAAGGAGGACATGGCTGGTTCGTTGTCCAAAATCGTGGAGTCCATGTTGGAAAGTGTCAAAAGTACGGAAGGAATTGTGCCAACGTTCAAGGATGATGGGGATGATCTGGCACTGTTGAACGGTGCCGACGACGACGAAGAAGACGACAAGGAGTTTGACATTGAAGGTTCAGATACGGACGATGGCGGCGACGACGACGACATCGCTGGCTACAGTGTAGAAAATGCCTATATGGACGAAAAGGAGGAAGCTATATTGGCTTTGATGGAATTTGCCGAACACACTGGACCAGCGTTTGCACCGTTCATTCAAACCGCCTTTGAAGAAATTTACAAACTAATCAACTATCCAAACGAAGACATTCGCAAAGCTTCGATTGATGCCTTGAAGCAGTTCGTGATATCGCTTCACGAGCTGGGAAACGGAGAGGGCGTTAACCAAACCATTCTGATTTTGATTCCCAAGCTGAGCGAGATTATCCGGACGGACGAGGAACGAACCGTCGTCATGTCGGCTTTGGATGGATACAGTGACATTCTGGAGAAAGTTGGGTCTGCTACTATGCAAGCCGACGGACAGAAGGATGCCATTTTTGGATGTATCGTTGATGTCCTGAACGGTAAAGTAGCCTGTCAATTTGACGAACCCGTCGAGGAAGAGCAAGAGGAAAGTGAGTACGATGAAGCCATCATCGAGTCGGCTGGTGATATTCTGCCTAAATTTGGACGTGCCCTTCCTCCGGCCGAATTTGCCGTTTACTTTGGACGCGTTTGGCCTTACTTCATTCAAAAAATTGTAAGTTTACATCGTAGCCTAAGACCGTTTTCACCATTAACCTTTAACTATTCTAAATCAGGAGAAAACCAAACACAAGGACGAAACCACAGACTCGCAGCGCGCCTTCGCGATTGGTGTATTGTCCGAGTGCTTCAGTGGCCTGAAAGAGTTTACCGCTAACTGGGTCGAGTCGCTTTTGCCTATCTTCCTATCTTGCGTACAGGATCGCAACAATGAGGTGCGAAACAATGCGGTGTACGGTATCGGTGAAATGGTTCTGCACGGAACCGACTGTTCTTACAAGTGAGCCGGATTGTGCGCTTGTTTTGTTATTCAATATTTCAAACATGTTCTCTTGACCATTGTAGGCATTACCCGCAAATCTTGGCGTCCCTATCCAATGTGGTCGCGAAGGAGCAGCATGCTGGTACTTTGGATAACATTTGTGGAGCCCTGGCACGTCTCATTTCAACCAACAGTAGTCAAGTTCCAATGAAGGAGGTAAATCGATCAGCAAAATCTTCTGAAAGTAGTTTACTTACCCTGTTCTTTTGCGTGAAGGTTCTACCGGTGTTCGTACAATATTTACCCCTGCGAGAGGACTTTGAAGAAAATCTCGCCGTGTTCCGCTGCTTTGATGTGATCTACCGTCAAGGAAACGAATATCTAATTCCACTTCTGGGGCGCGTTCTAGTAATCGGTCTGCAGGTCCTGTACAAAAAGCAGCACAACAATGACGGTAAGTATTCCACTTGATGAATCTGACGGTAATACTGGACGACAAAGCTCAAATTTATGCTTCCACAGAGTGCCGCGATCTGGTGTTCAACTTTGTCAAGCAGATCAACCGGGACTTTCCGGACAAATTCGCCGAAGTGATGCGCAGCGATCCCGAGATTGCCAGTTTCGTCGAAACGCTTCCGCTCCAGTAGAAGTCGGTGCGCGTGCATTTAATGCGCAAACTGTACGTATCATATATTGACCCTTATCTGCAGACTTGTGTGCGCCGTGTGGAGAAGAAAGGTGGAACATCCAAGTCGTCGAACGGTGCAGTCATCCATGGAGATGAGGGTTACAAGTGAATAAATGGGAACGGCTAGAAGTCGGTAACGAAGATTGAACGATTCACCGCACGGGCAGCATGCATGAGCTTTCCACTAGTATGACCGACCACAACAGCGAGTAATATCTGATTCAAACTAATTACTGCAAAACATTAGGTACTCGCACCGCAGATGCATTATTTTCAAAGTTTGAAAAATGAGCTTAACGCTAAGAAATCGCGTTAAGGCCAATATGTCGTAGACTATTTATTATATTTAGAATAAGTTCGTTATTGAATGAAACACTACTGTCTACAATTTCACATATATACCTAACCACCTTGCATGCAGCATGCCGTCATTTTTCAATCTAATATCAACTTTTATCACTTTAAAACAAGTCGAATCTGTCCAATAAAAATAACAACTGAGCCATAGAAAGAAAAATGCTGACACAGAAGTCCATAGAGCAACAGAAAAAAATAATATATTTGTCCTTCCATATTCAAAGTTAAGTAGCAACCGGAAACACGTAACGTATATGTGATGAGTAGAAAACAAAATACCTTTATGAACAATTATAAGGTACTGAATTCAAAATTCACTTCATGATTTTTCACTCAAGTTAAATAATTATCATTTATGATATTGAAATAAACAAGATATGTTAAGTTTATACATCTTACTATACTATACTATACAGCCTTAAATGGAATAAAAGTTTTATCTAAAAGTATGTCATTGTTTGATTAATATAACTACCATAAATTATTTACTAATCTCCGCTCATGCCGACAGCAAATTCCTACCTGTTCACTTTTTTGTTCCCGATCAACTCTGCGGTGACGGCTTCAAAGACAATTCTAGATAGCGTTGCAATTAGGGCGTAACAGCCTTTGTAAACAATGACTTCTCTCGTCCATTTCTCGGAATTCAAGACACGCCTACACAAACCAACATATCCATCGGCTAGGAGAAGCCTTCCTCTACACGATAATGATCGATTTGCCAGGGGGAGCCATGGCTTCAGAGAAATCATCGAGAGAAGTCATTGTTTACAAAAGCTGTTACGCCCTAATTCCAGCTCTATCTAGAATTACTAAAATTGCAAGAACTTTCAAGGAGTTCCGAGGAATTATGGGATATTCCGACGAGCAAATCAGGAAGGTTCCGAGAAATTTCAGGGACATTGTGGGGTTTTTAGGGATGTTTTATGAATATGAAAATTGCTGGATCAATAGAGCATGTGAGGAGTATCTTTCGACTGTTCCGTAAGCCCTCTGGTGTTCGACTTTTTCCAGAAGTTTCTTCCAATCTATCTTAGGAAGTTTCTCCCAGTGTATACTGGAATTTTCTTCCTTCTTCTCTAGGAAGTTCATTTAAAGTTCTACCGGATGTATCTATCGAGTTCTCGAAGATGTTTCTTTTGTCTTCCTCTTGAAGTTTCTCCATAAGTCACTCTCCGTGGGTTTTTTCCGACTTATTTGAAGGTTTTTCTGAGCTTCTCCGGCTTCCGATTTCCAAAAATTTCTGGCTTCTGGATTTTTCCGAAATTTTTTAAAAATTCCAGAAGTTTCTCAATATTTGTCTTGGAAGATCCCCATCGGATGTTTTTCCGACATTTCTTAGAACTTCCTTCAAACTTCCTCCACAAGATATTCTTTATTCTTCCTCTGGAAGTTTTGTCGGTACCATTAAGAGACAAATGCAAATATTTCCAGAAATTTCTTCCGACTTACATGGGAAGTACATCATTCGATTTTAGTCCAAAAGTTTCAAAGCATGAAAACAATCTGGCAACGCTGCATCACATTGCAGTGTTCACTCGGCTGTCGACAAAAGCAGGCCACTCTCGATGTGTGATGTATTGTCCTTTTCCTTTATTTAACGTCGGTCTCTGTTCCGCAATCTAGTGCCAATCACCGACGGACATCGATTGCCATCCATTGACGGCAATCGAATGTGCAGGAAGGCAGCTTCCACACCTGCGTAGGATATCGCACCCATTCACAACATACATGGGCCGGGACCAACGGCTTTACTTCCCTTTCGAAGGAAGACGTTGACCAGAGATTTTTATGCCTCAGAAAAATCCCACCGACCTCGGCTGGGATTGAACCCAGACCCATTAGGGTATTAGAAAGCAGTCACGCTTACCACTACACCACCGGCGCCGGCTATGTGAGATGTATTGTATAGTGACAAAGAATCCTCGGCTCTGTAAAGTTAATTCGTTTGAGCCTTATCAAATAAATTAATAAACAACACCACATTGAAAACTATTTCTGCTGTGAGAGCAAACTGAAAACTCAATTTGATATCAATTTTTCCTGTATTCAATTTGATGTTATGCTAGCAAGGTACCATAGGAAAATCCACGAACCCCTAATTTTATCTGTCAAACTTTCAAAGCGAATCAAAACAAACATTGAGTAGTACTAGAATTTTGACTAGAATGGGGTACGTTAATCGATTTGCTTGGCAGCAATAGGCAGTCAAGTAGTGAGCCAATTTAAAATCGTAAGTTTCCACCGGTTGCTAATACCCTAATACATACCACAAACGAAGCGACAGACGGAGCGGCTCGAAAACTTTGGTGACGAACCTGCTATTTCAATTTTTCAGTGTACCACATGGCAACACTACTGCCAACCGGTGGAAACTAATTATTTTAAATTGGCTCACTACTTGACTAGCTTATTGGTCCCAAGGAAACCGATTAACGTATTCCATTCTAGTCCAAATTCTAGTACTACCCAACAAACAATCGTCTATTGAAGAAGCGACTTCTTGGCCATTTTATTCAACTGCATGCTTAATAGTACTTTCATGAATCCTGATGAATGTGGGCGTCTGTCTTAGTGGAATACCTGTATAATGAGAGAGAGAAGGATTAGTATTTTCCATTTAATTCCACTACTTTATTTGCTTATCCTTGACAGATACGCGTATTTCGTCTACAATGTGCAGACTTCTTCAGTGTCTTGTACTAATACTCGACTGAAGAAAAACATCGCATTTACCGAATATATATTAACACAGGTACATTTTCACTTAGAAACTAGGTAAACTTAAATTTAATTTTCTATATAAAATTAAATTTAAGTTTACCTAGTTTCTAAGTGAAAATGTACCTGTGTTAATATATATTCGGTAAATGCGATGTTTTTCTTCAGTCGAGTATTAGTACAAGACACTGAAGAAGTCTGCACATTGTAGACGAAATACGCGTATCTGTCAAGGATAAGCAAATAAAGTAGTGGAATTAAATGGAAAATACTAATCCTTCTCTCTCTCATTAGTACTTTCATTTTCATTTTTCATTTTATGATGTACAAGGGGGTCAGGGGCCATGTCACCGATGTGAATATTCACACCATCCATAAAACACCAGGGAAGGGGAGAGGAGTGAGCAACACAGCATCTTTACCCATGGGGGTTAAAAAAGTTCTGCGAGGTACACTTATGGTGAACCAGCGGCTCAGGGATTGTAGAAAGGAAAAGGGTTGGGTAGGTTTAAAATGCAGAATTAGATGCCGTCACGATTGAATGCGCATGTTTAAACAACGGTAATCCAGGTACCTATCATATAAATTTGCATATAATCTAGTTATGATTATTGTCAATAATACTGACATTTCGATAAAGATGATGCTGCCTACTTTACCTGTTATGTGATACTTATCATCACAGAGTCCAACCTTGAATCGCAGACCAGGTCCACTAACAAAACACTCGTTCCGAGAAGGGTTTTATGGCCTTCTTCTTCTTCTTCAGGTTCGCTCACCATCCGGAATGAAGGCTCGGTGCGGTTAGTTATATCAAACAGTGTTACATGCAAACGAAAAAACGAAAAAGAGATACAACCAGGATTAGTTTTTTAAAGTAATACTTTCATCTGAATACCCAACTAGCCATATCTCAGTGACATTGTACCACTCTGAACCCACACCTAAAGCTATTTTGTGATTATATGGTTACTTTGGTATTCACATGAAATGTTGTGCAAGTACCAGAAGTTCAACAACGCCCAACTATGGACAGCTCAATGTTAATACCATTTACTCTTTGATTCAGCTTACACCAACATGATAATCTACTAAGAAACATCTAAGAATGTATAGAGATAAAGTTCAAAAATACAGTTTTAACTGATGGTACTTTATAAACGTCAAACTGTCCAATATTGGACCCTGCCAACACACGGCGCCTGCACGGCAATGTGGGCCGTCAGAATGGTTCATCGGTTGCGAAGTGAAGTGCTTCTTAAACTGAAGCGATACATTTCTCAATGTTTCAACGTTATCCTAACGTAAACTTAATATTATCACCCATATGCCTGTCCACGCCCGAAACCCATCCACCACACAAAATCAAATAAAAATGTTTCTGTATGGCAAACACGTCCAGACATAAACGAGAATATGGGTGTATATCTTCACTGTAACAACTACGGGTAATCATCGAAAATACTTGCATTTTACTCAGGCATTTTTGAGCAAACTGCAATCACTCTCTTATACTCGAAATGTGCCACGACCAAATTGGCACAACGACGCCCTATACGCTCTCTGACCAAAGCGCAGGGAACTGAATGCTTAATAGTACTTGTTTTTTTTTTAATAATAACTTCTGTTCAGGCTTTGTTCACACAAATCTGGAAAAATTATTCAACCATAACATTGAACTACTTGGTGTTGTATAAGGTATGTCGAGAAGCCTTTTTTTTATCCCTAGAGGATTGCAATGATCGGGGTTGATGAGAAAAATTTTCAAGTGACTATGATGCCGGACGGATTAGTCTATGGTGACCAATTAAACACCTGATTCACGATATTGATTAATCATAATCTTCTTGAAAATCTTTATGGTTCGGTAATCGCTGGTCTGTCTTTGTCTATGTCTTCTTCTCATTCGTACGTCAGTTTTAATGTCTGGATGTTTTCTTGTCTAATGTCATGATGT